TTCTTGCCTCTTTCTGAAGCAGATCTGGAAGTCCTTTTTTGTGTCATTAGTTGCACTATCGTGACTACTTTGCTATCCTTGGTCACCTCAAAACATTTACCTTTCATGGTCATTTTGACTTGAGAGAAGAGCCAGAAGTCACACAGGTGGCACTGTGAGTAAGGTGGATGAGGACGCCGTGTGATTTACAGCCTGCTTTTCCATTGGATGATACTCAGCAGGAGCAATCACTATATTTTTCACCCCTCTATCTAAAGACAAAAAAGAGGGCTTCCGGAACTGCTTCAGAAAGTGGCAAGCATGGAGGGATACGTGTGTTTGAAGCAACAGGGAGAGTATTTTGAGGGAGATCAATGGCCGTTTGTCTCTTACTATAATAAATTCACTGTGTATTTTGATCACTCATTGTAACTACACATCAGTGGGCTAATAACTGAAACAGCCAGGTGACTTCCTTGCAGTATTTGTATTTAGTTATTAGTTCAGAAGGAAAATGAGTAAGTACAAGTAGTTATCTTTGGCTTGATTAATCACAGGAAGGATTCCCCTGGAGAGAATGACCACAGATGAGCTTTTTTCCTTCTACAGTCAAGAGAACTGTAGTAGGAATGTAGAAAGGAAGTACATTGGCTTTTTCGTGGGTGTTCTAAAGACTGGCCATATTTTAAAATACCACACAAATTTTATGCAAATAAGGGCTCAGAAAGATAAGATAACTGGTTTAATGTGATTAATTACTCTTTTTGCCCTAATTCTAAAACTCTGCTTTTAAAGGAGGTTAGGACTTGGTAGAATTTAGCCTCTTTGAAGGTATATGAGATGTGATCTTTTAATATTATGTTGATACACTTCTCAAACTATGACCCTTGGACCTCTGGGCTTCCTCAGGAATTCAAAATCATTTTCTTAAAGACATTAAAATATTTTTTGCCATTTTTTTTCCATGCTGACTTTACTCAAGGAGCAAAAGAAAGGATGAGTCAGCTATATTAGCTTTATTATACTGTAGCTCAGGTCAGGGCCAAGGCACTGTCCTGGGCTGGTGGTCATTGAATTTCGTTGCTGTGCCCTTGCAGTTAAACCCAGAAATGCCAATTTCACGTAATCTCTTCGATGAAACTGTAAAGATTATTTTTATTAAACCTTGAGCATTGTATACAGGTATTTTTCTTATTTTGTGTAATGAAGTAACTTCTACCTTCTGAAGTAGGAAGAGCATGGATGTGACTGAGTTAGGAATTTTTCTTAGAACATGCTTTTTACTTGAATGACAGACTTTGATCGTGTGGACTTAAATATTTACCAAGTATTTTCTAAAGAGTTAGCTAAGTGAGCTTGTTACTTCACGGACAAGATCTGACAACATTTTGTTGCCAGTGATAAAATTCAAACTTTCAAGCAAGGTAGGATTGCGGGAAATCTGTGTCTGAGCTTAAGAGCACCCCAAATATTTAAATCTTTTCTTGTGAGATACATGTGATAGTAACACAATTTTTGATATTGTATAATGAAATGTGTCAACATTTGAAAACTCTGTAACTGGATGAAGTAACCTTCTCATGGTTAAAAGTCTATTCAGAAGTCAGGATAAATCATTTGATTCTAATATAAGGGAATAATATAGTTTAGAGTCCTTGTTGTAATTAACAAGCTACATATTAAAGTATCCATAGTTATCTGAAAAGGCCATTAAACACTCCTCCTTTTGGCAATAACGTCTGTGTGAGGCCAGATTTTCTTCAGAAATACCAGCCAAAGCAGCATATGACAGATTGGATGCAAAGGCATATATATTCATATATGTATAGTATGAATCCAGCTTTTTGTTAAGTCAAACATTAGGTATACAAAAACGTAAACTTTTTATCACTTTTTGGGGTTTTTTTTGGTATATCCTTTTATTGGTACATTTTAGGTGCACAATATAATGACATTCATCATTGGAGATATGCACCTTTACATACTCTCTTGGTTCTTATTTTTTTCCCCCTTCCCTGCCCTCCCTTTTTTGTTTTGAAAAAAATTTTTAATACAAATTATGTCAACATGTAATACATTTATTTTAAAGTAAATATTTTAAAATTTAGTTTTAATTTCTAGTACAGCAAATAGTGATAGACATAAGCCATGTAAACAAAGGCTCTTTGGGCTCTTCAGTAATTTTTATGAGTATAAAGGGGTTCTGAGTTCAAAGTTTGAGAATTGCTATTTTACGAATAGGGAAAAATTCACCATGAGAATAGCAATAGTCAAAATTTTAGACAAGTCCTTATATTCTGTTGGGAAAAGTAAGGTGTTGCTTATTTATGGTGTAGTTATAAGGCCATTACAGAGTAACTGCTGTTTGAATATCAGCCTATTATGGTACTTTTTACAGTATCTGGAATAACTCGTGATATTTGGGTTTTTGTTTTTTGGTGTTTTTTTTTGTCCTGGGGATTGAACTCGGGACCTTGCGCTTGCGAGGCAGGTGCTGGAACCACTGAGCTAAATCCCTGGGCCCTATTTGGGTTTTTTTTATTAAGAATTGTGTTTGTCTTTCCCAGGGAACTCGGTGTCACCATTAAGTGTTGAAAATAATTCATCACCTAGAGAAATAAAACCTGTAAGTCATTTTTTTCTATGTTGCATTTTTTGTTTGGGTAAAATATTCTAACATTTTTGTATTGTACTGATAATACTCAATTTGTTGATATTTCAAGGTCAGATCTTTTAATTTTTTATCAGCATATGTTTATAATACATAGTAATTACAGTCATCTTGGGAAATTGGTACTTATCTATATTGCATCTTGATCAGTTTTGTCTCCCCCCAGCCTAGATTCTTTTCTTTAATCTAGCACCTTGAATATTTTTTTCTTTTTAGATAAATGTAGATTCAGGTGCAGTTGTTAGAAATAGAGAAAGATTTTATGTAGCCTATATCGAGTTTCCCCCAGTGGTAAAAAGCTCCAGAACAATATTAAGACCAGGATGGCTGGGCGTGATGGTGCACGCCTGTAATCCCAGCACTTGGGAAGCTGAAGCAGGAGGATCGCAGTGAGTTCAAGGCCAGCCTGAGCTACATAGTGAGTTTAAGGCTAGCCTAAACTACATAGCAAGACCCTGTCTCCAAAAAAAAAAAAAAGAAAAGAAAAGAAAAAAAAAAAGAAAGCAACCCTAGGATATTGACATTGATACAATCAAGATACAGAATATTTCTATCATTATAAGGATCCCTTGTATGCCTCTTTATGGCTACATTCACCTACCTTATGCCCCTTAATTCCTGGCAGCCGTTACTATCTATAGTTCCACAATTTTGATGTTTTAGGGATGTATAGATAGAACTAGTATATAATCTTTTTGGATTGGCTTTTTTCAATCTGAATGATTCTCTGGAAATTGAGCTAGGTTGTTTTATATATCCTTAGTTTGAGCCTTTCTATTGCTTGCTGTGTATGCATAGCTTGTTCACCTTCACCCACTGATGTATATCTACATTGATCTCAGTTTTTGTCTACTGAAAATAAAACTGCTGCATCCACGTTTTTATTTCTGTAAGATAAATGCCCAGGTGTGCAGTTTTGGGGTCATACAATTGTTGCATATTTTGTTTAAGAAACTTCCAAACTGTTCTCTAAAGTGACTGTACCATTTTACATTTTCACTAAGAATGTGTGAGTGAACTAGTTTATCTGCATCCTTATCTGCATTTGGTGATGTTCCTATTTTTATTTTACTCTCATAGATCTTAGTTACTTCTTAGTTCTGGGTTCTGTAGTTCTTTGCCAGTTTCTCTGTTGTTTTCCATTAATCTATTCCTCCACCAATACCATACGGTCTTGATTATTAGAGTTACGTAATAAGTCTTAAAATTGAGTACAGTGATTTATTCCACTTTTTCAAAATTGAAGTAGCTGTTCTAGATCCTTTGCCTTCAAATACATTATTCAAAATAATCATTCATATCAACAAAATAATCTTGCTAGGGTTTTTATGTGAACCTGTGTATCAACTTAAAAGTTATTGACATCTTTACTGACTTGAATCTTCCAGTTTTTTAACATAATAAGGTGTTTCCACTTATGTAGATCTTTGATTTCTTTCACTTTGCAGTTGTTAGCCTACAAACCCTGTGCAGATTTTGTTATATTAATGCTTAAGAATTTCACTTTTTGAATGATAATATTTTAATCTGTGTGTTCTCATATTCATTGCTAATATGTAAAAATATGATTTTTATGTGTCTATCTTGTATTCGTTGAGTAGAACTATTTTTCTACATCCCAAGCAGTTTTCTACATATCTGTGTTTGCATATTTTTTTATACACATACACACTTTTGAGGGGATATGAACACCTTTTAATGGCTCACAGTGGGTTTTTTTCTTTTTTCACAAGAGTTGTAATAAAAATACATGGAATTTCATGAATCACAGTACATTGAGGATGACAGAATGGAAACAGGACAAGTGTGAAGTATAGACCTTCTTGCGGGGCATAATATTCATCCACTGAGAATACCGACATGATTAGGCCCCTCTCTCTACTGCCTGTAGTTCTATTCAGTCTCAGTCAGTGGCAGACTAAGGCTAAGGAGAGTTTAAATTTTGTTTTGTTTTACTTTGTTTTTTGAGAAAGAGCCTCTCTATGTAATTCAAGCTGGCCTTGAACTCACTATATATTCCATGGTGGCCTCAAACCACAGCGAGCCTCCTGCCTGAGCTTCCCAACTGCTGGGATTACAGGTGTGCGCCACCACAGCAAGGGGAGTTTAAAAAAATAAATAAAACTGAATGTAACCAACTGCCTCCATCATTCTGCCCTTTTCCATTTTCTTCACATAAGCAGGTGGGACAAGGACATGAGGCAGGTCTTGTCTAATTGCACTGGCAAGAACTTTTGTATTGAATAAGGGTGGTGACAGTGGGTATATTGATCTTGTTTCCAATATTAGGGAGAAAGCACTCAGTTCTTTACCAGTAACTGTAGGCTTTTTCTTTTCCCGCTCAGTGACAGAGATTGAACTCAGGGCCTTGTACTTGCTAGGCAGGCACTCTACCACTGGTCTGCATCCCTGACCCTTAATTAGTTTGTTTATTTATTTATTTATTTTTACAACAGTGCTCTGGGAAGCTGAGTCAGAAGCATTCCAAGTTTAAGCCCAGCATGGACAATTTAGTGAGACCTTTTCTGAAACTTTTTAAAAAGGACTGGGGATGTAGCTAGCTCAGTATGAAGGCCTGTTGTATTGGTGCTTTTGTCATCATAATGTTCCTCTCTGGTAATTTCTTTCCTCTGAAATTTTTTATCTGATATTAACTCGACGACTTGTTTTTTATTAATATTTGAGGTACTTATCCATCTTTTTATTACCAGTCTGCTTATATCATTATACTTGAAATTAATCGCTTAATAGTTATAATTAAGTAACATCTTTTAATCCATTTGGCCAATCGGTCTTTTAATTGGTGCATTTAGGCCATTTACATTTAAAGTAATTATTGATATTTGGAGGCTTAAAATTTTCCATTTGTGTTTTGTTTTTCCTGCCTTCTTGAGGATTCTTTGAACGATTTCTACAATCCCATTTGACTTGTCTAGTGTTTTGAGTACATTACTTTGTAAAAGTTTTCTGGTGGTCGCCATAGATGCTGCTTTGTAGATGCACAGCCTACCGCTGTTATCATTTTATCATCTTGCGGATATCGACGCCTGTCCTTTTCAGCTTCATGTTTGTTTCATAGAAGAGTGTAGGGATTTCAGTTGTATTTATTGGGACGAATAGGGAAAATTCTATCTGATCAAAAGAAGAAGTCTCAAATGTAGTATTTAAAAGAAATTATTACCAAATTCTAATATGCTGTTCTCTCTACTTAATAGAAGCCTACCAATAATGTGCCTCCTGTGAAGTCCAAAAAATCACACCACTTTGTTAAGAATTCCTTGTCCATAAATAATCCAGCGCTTTTCAACTCTTTACGACTTCCTTTTCGGTCAACAACTTGCCATCGCTGTGGCCTGTTTGGTAAGCATAGTACTCATAGGTGTCCGCTAGATTATTCTGCACATTTTTAAATATTTGTATTATGGAAAATTTTAAACATGTAGAGTGTAAACAATCATATATATACATGTATGTATATGTCATATGTCTCATTTGTTCTTCAGTAGCAAAATCCACCCATGGTCATTATTTTTTGTTTGTTGATGAGTAGTATTCCATTGTATGATTATATTGCAATTTGTTTATTTTATTTTGTCTTACTTGCAGTACTAAGGACCATACTCGGGGCCTCATGAACGCTAGGCAAGCACTGTACTACTGAGCTACATCCCCAGCCTGGTTTTTTTTTAATTGACAGATAAAATTGCTTGTATTTACCATGTACAATGTAATGTTCTGACACAATTTGTCTATTCATTTCCTTGTTCAAAAACATGGTTTTGTCCAGCTTTGGGTTATTATGAATAGAATGCTCTAAAAGCTTTTGTCTAAGTCTTTGTATAGACATGTGTTTTTATTTATCCTGCGTGTACACCTATGAATAGAATTGTTGAGTGAAAGGATAGGTGTACTTTTAACGTTATAACAGACTGCCAGACATTTCCAGAGTAGTCCCATTGGTAATGATTGCTGTACGTCATTGCCAGCATTCGAGATTGTCAGTCGTTTTAGCAAGAACTGGCCTCGTGGGTATATATATAGTGGTGTCTCTTTGTTCTAATGTTGTTCCCTCATGATCAGTGAGCTTAAACAGTTTTTCTATGTGTTTACTGGCTATTTGCGTTTCACGTTTTTTGTTTTTGTTTTCACCTTCTTTTAGAGTGGAAGTATTTGAGACCAGCCTGGTTTTTGTTTATTGTTATTTGTTGTTTTTTAGATTTCTTGTTTTCTTCCATCTGGATACTGATAGGTTTTTTTTTTTTAATACTTTATTTCAAAAACTCTAGTTTTTCTAAGTGTGTTCTCATCATCATTTTTTGTTGCTGTTTAATGATACATGATAAGCCATTTCAGTCTACTTTGTCTAGTTTTCACTACAACAAAGTTTTCTGTTTGCTTTGGTTTCTTTTATAATATATTTTCTAGGCTCTCTTTTAGGAAAACTCATTTGTGTCTCCAGTCTGACCTTTCTCATTTTCATCCTTGAATCCTTTTTCTATGCATTTTGAGAGTTTTAAAAGTTAAATCTCAATACCTGATGATGAGCAGCACACCTTTCTTCAGGTGCTCTTCTTGAGATGATTCGCAGAATGATGTTTGATATGTTTAGTTTCTGGAATTGTCTTGATCTCAGTGTCACATACTTGCATATACCTCCAGTGACGTCCCAGGTTATGCCCCACAGGGTCACTGAGGTGCTCTCAGTGCAAGCAGACGTACTACTGCTCCACTGCATGTCAGAGGAGGGACTGGTCCACCCACAGCATTGTGTGTAAACCTGTCCAGCAAAAGTAAGTGTGCATGCTCTTCATTCACTAGGGAATACTGAAAAGGGTTTTTTCTGATACAGGAGGAATCGAATCAGTTATGCAGGCCAGAGATATGTCGAAGTTACCTTTCTGCTTATTTATTAAAGTATATCAAGATGTATAAATCTGAAGTAGATAGCTCTATAAACTTAGTTTTTACTAATATAATTGCACCTGACAGTACATACTAAGATTGAGAAACTTCGGTGAATTTGTAATGGTTAGAATTTTAGAAATCTTTACTTTTAATCGTGTATGAGTGCCTGAATTTTAATAATTTGTGATTTTCACAGGGCCTCTTGAGCTGTAATTTTAAAATACATAAATTTTACTTGCGTGACATGTACCAGTTTACAAAACGTTATCATGTATAACCTCATCTGATCCTCAAAACTCTGTCTAGGTAACGTAGGGATTGGCTCATTTTACAGATAAGAAAACTGAGGCTTGGAGATGAGCTGTTTCCCTTTCACTCGGTAGCTTTTGGAGGACGCACACCGGGGCAGGCACAGTGTAGACCATTGCTAGGCACCACTGGGTTGTGTAACTTTGTTACTACTGTGACCCTTTCTGGAAGAAGCTGCTTTGTTCTTTCTGTATTTTGTTGTTTGAGATTCTCAGCTAATTGTGATGAATGGCTCCTACTCTTAGTTGCCTCTGTAGCATAAGTATTGCAATCTGTTGCTATATTTCAGTTTTCACAAATTTGAGGAGAATAAATCACCTTTTGAAATGAATGTGGAAGTGAAAAATGAGGTATGGTATTCTTTGTCTTCAGAGAAGATTTTAAATGACTCTCCTTTATTAAGATTTAAGCTAAATAAAGTACTCCAAACTCCTACATCTCACAAATGTTTGTTTAAAGACAAAAATTTCCCACTAACTCTGTATACCCTAGTGATGGGATTTGATAACTGGGAGGTCCTTGCGAATTGTTTCTTTCCAGTCTTTTCTCAAAAAGTTCCTGAGATGGCTGTCTCTCAGTATAAAATCTTTCTGTAACCCTCAAATACAGATTCTATTTGTGCATGCCACTTTCTACAGGGCCTGCCTTTCTAACTAAGCAGCATTTTTTTTCTGTTAATAGGTCTCTTCCATTTAAATATTAGAATCTAAATGACTTGCAATTCAAAACACTTTTATTGTATCCAACTTATCTTTATAGACACGTATTAGCTTTGTCTAGCTGTGCCTCTTCATGTATTTTTATTTATTTATTTATTTATTTTTTGTGCTCGCTTCGGCAGCACATATACTAAAATTTTTTTTTTTTTTTATGGTGCCGGGGATCGAACTCGGGACCTTGCAGTTATGAGGCAAGCGCCGGCACCACCAAGCTAAATCCCCGGCCTCTTCATGTATTCTTAAATTTTGACTTTCTACTTTAAATTTTAATTGATTTATTGATTGCGTTACAGGGGATTGAACCCAGGGCCTTTGCACTGAGCTACTTTCTTAGGCTGCGGTTTTTGTTTGTTTGTTTGGATAACCTTGCTAAGTGGCCCAGGCTGGCTTCAACTTGTGATCATCCTGCTTCAGCCTCCCAGGGTGCTGGGATTACAGGCAGTTGCTGCCACACCTGGCCCCAATTTAAAATGTTAACTGTGTACCTGTTAATGGACTACATCCCTTCTTTTTTTTTATTTAAATGAATTCATCATAATCCTGCCTGTCCCCTCATTCTGGGACGGTGTACAGTGCTGTGTGCATTGCCTGTGGAAAATGGGTTTGGGAATTCTTGGAGGCTGTCCCTGTTTGTGAACTGTCCCTATGCTGAATGTGATCACTGTGTGTATCTAAAATGTACCAATAAATTTAATTTAGTGTTTATGCACTCTTTTACTTAAGAGTCAGACTTTTGAGGTCACGAGTCTAGCAATTGGTGGCCATTGTATCATTGAAATGTGTGCTTGTAAGTTGACTTCTTTATGTGTTCTTTCAAACCAGAGCAACTGTCCACCTGGAGTTACTAAAGAAATAGCCATCGCTGCTGAGAAAATAATGTTTTCTGATTTGAAAGGTTTACATCTCAAGAAAACCATGGAAATAAAGGTATTTGTTCTTTAATTGTCATAGGTAGATATCCAAAGAACCAATTTTTATTTCCTCGTTCCCTATTTTTAATTTGAGATCATAGAGTAGCTGTAGAATATATCTGATTAAATTAGTAAAGATTGAAAAAACTGCAACACTTTATCTTAGTTATACAGCTTTAAGAGGGGCCAGGGATTTAGCTCAGTGGTTTCGACGCCTGCTGCGCAAGCTCAAGGACCTGAGTTCGATCCTGGGTACCAAAAAAAAAAAGAAAGAAATTCACATTTGCTTTTGTTTGCAGTGAATTATTGTATCTTCTCTGTCTCTGAAAGGGTACAGTTACTGAATTCAAACACCCAGGTGACTTTTATGTCCAGTTGTATTCTTCAGAAGCTTTAAAACACATGAACCAACTCTCTGCAAGCTTAAAAGAAACATATGCAAATATGGTGCATGAAGAAGATTATATTCCTATCAAGGGGGAAGTTTGTGTTGCCAAGTATACTGTTGATCAGGTAACTATTGATAAATTAAATTAATTAATAAAATGTTTCAACTTACCTTGGTTGTATCAACTCATCAACCCCAGAGCTTTTAATGATGGAAAAATGGCATAACTCAGACTTAAGTCACACTCATCATTACTCCACACTGTGGGACTCACTTTATTTTTTCCCTGCCCTATCCCTCTCCAGTTGTCTTTGGTTTTTAGGTAGCTAGTCTTAGAGCTTGTGTCTGTGGAGGTGAGGTATTCATGTGTAACAGTCAACTGGGATGAAATGGCTTTGGAATATTTGTGCATGTTACAGTGTCCTAATTAGACAATTTTAGATATTTCTTAGCAATATTCATAGAAAATGAAGTTGTCTTTAATTGGGTGCCTCTGAACAGGACAGAAGCCTTTCCTTTGCATAGTCTGTAAATTGGTTGAAGATCTCTTAAAGGTTGTGAAATGCTGTTTTAAAGCAGAATATTATGTTATTTCTTTTCCAGACCTGGAACAGAGTAATGATACAAGATGTTGATGAGCTACAGAAGACAGCGCAAGTCTTGTATATTGATTATGGAAATAAAGAAATAATTCCAGTAAACAGAATTCACCAGCTAAACAGAAACATTGAATTGTTTCCTCCTTCTGTGAGTCTTTTTCTTTAGAATTCCTATCAGTGTCTCAAAGTTTCTGTTCTTAATGTGTGATGGACACAACATTTTCTTGTATTTTGCCATGTTATTGTCCCTATGGGTATATCTTTTAGCATGTGAATGAATACCCATTGGTTGCCTTCACTCCATTTCTATTATCCCTTATTTAGTTAAGTAGAGCCTCAGCTGAGAAACTAACATTTGGGTACATCTTATCAATCTACTTTCGCGTGTGTCTGTGTGTGTGTGTGAGATGCTACTGATTGAACCTAGAACCTTCACATTAGGCTACATCTCCAGCCCCTTTTATCACTTATTTTAAGACAGAGTCTGGCTAAGTTGCCCACACTGGCTCAAACTTGCCATCTTTCTTGCTTCAGCCTCTCACAGTGCTGGGATTACGAGTATGCACCACCATGCCTGGCTTCAATCTGCTCTTTTCTTTGTTACATTATTTGAGAGTGACCAAAATCATGTATAGTTAATGTATAATTATTATCCTGGCATGAATTTCTTGAGCTTAACATACCAAAAGTTAGCATTGTGAATGATGTAATAAGAGAGACAAATATAATCAAACCTAAAATTGTTTATCTGGTTAGTATTCAAAGACTTTTCATAAATTGTCAGCATGAAATAGGTTCTTTTTTAAAAAAAACTTCACATAATTAATTAGAAAAACTTCATTTTTACATACTAATTCTCACAAGTAACTTACACACAATATTTCAGGCCATAAAGTGCTTTGTGGCCGGTGTTACCCCAGCAGAGGGTACTTGGAGTGATGATTGTATCAAAACTATTAAATCACTGTTGATGGAGCAGTACTGCTCTATAAAGATTGTCGACATCTTAAAAGAGGAACTGGTTGCCTATGCTGTAGATGTTATGCTGCAAAGTTCAGGTAAGTTCTGAGTCTTTCTTTGTAAATTAAACCCTTAATACCTTTTTTAGTCCCTCTCCTATTATTTGAGAAGAAATAAGTGAGGTCAAGTAAATTCCATCTGGAATCACATAGTTTTTGACTGACAACGGGGCCTTGGATTGGCAGTGTGTCAAGTATGTGTCACAAACTCATAGAACTGAGTGGCTTAAATGGCTAGATTTAGATGTATCTATATTAGTATCCTTAGAATATATTTATTGTAATATTTACTCCTGATTTCTCCTTTGAAAGGAATTCTTGCCTTTATTCTTTATCATCAGTGCTTTGCTTTGAGCAACTCCCACAGAACTGCATTTTGTTAGTCCACAGTGTTTAAGCTGTAGAAGTAGAGACATTTTGGAATGCTGTTTTCCATTCTGGATTCATATCTGTTTGAAAAGTAACTTCTTACAGTGTATGTGTAATTTCGAGTTCTCAAGGTTTTGCACCTCTACTTTTAGCATCACGGGTGACTTGTCAGAAAATGTAGTTGATATGCTGAAGTTTATGTATTTTGTTTCTTTGTTAAGTATATTTCATGCTGATTCAAGATTTTGGATATGATTTAAGAGAACTTGAAGTTCATGTCCGTGCTGACTAACGTTTGTTTCAGCCATACTGTCAGTCTGACAGAAATGGAGACTGGTGTCTTAGACTGATCTCTTCTCAGGAGTAGTGGTTATTCTGAGTATGCTTGTGAGATGATAACCAAACCTTTCACGTTCACAATTTTGAAGAGAAACAGGTTCATCATGTTTTCAGTCAAGTGACTGGGAATTTTGCTTCAATTTTATTTATTTGTTTATTGCTTCAGTTTTTAAAGCTGCTCATTATTACTAAACTATGTTTTGCCCATAGTAACTGATATTATAATATATGCTACTATATTAATAGCTACAGTATCCCTGTTATGTGATTTGTTTTTCATTTAAATCTTTCTATGCTTTGTAAAGTATTTCTTTTTTTTTGTAAAGTATTTCAATGGAGATATATTTTCTTGATTTTTAGGAGAATTCTTAGACCATATGCTTGTAGAAATGGGATATGGTTTGAAAGCCAAAGGACAAAATTCTAAGAAGCAATGTACAGGTCAAAGTGAGTATACAGATTAATATTAAAGTAGTGACTTTAGTTTTGAGAGTATCTTCTGTAATGAATCAAAAAAGCCCATGACTATCGTATTGTCAAGACTTAATAGTAACCATTCTATAAACTGTATAAGAAAGATGAGGTTTTTAAATGTAGTAATATATTCTTTCTTTTTCTTTTTTCTTTTTTGGCAGTACTAGAGATTGAACCCAGGGCCTTCACACTGGGTACATCCCCAGCCATTTTTTTTAATTTTTAAATTTTGAGTCAGGTCTCTTTATGTTTCCCAGGCTGGGCTTGAACTTGTTATCCTTCTGACTCCACATCCCAGAGTTCTGGGACTACAGGTGTGTGCCACTACACCTAGTTAACGATTTCTAATCTCAGTTTTCCCTGCCTGTTTCCTTCCTTCCCAGGTTTATTTTATGTTTTGCATAGTTGTATGTGTTTTCATAGTCTGTTTCCTCCTTCATTTTGCTCCTTTATCAATTACTTTATGTACAGATTATAATTCATTGTCTCTTGTTAATGAATCCAGGGGTGATGCCATAACTTGGGTGTGTCTTCCCCTTTATCTCCCATCCCTTGCCCTATCTAGTTCTTATTAACTTGATTCTTCTTCCCAAATACCCTTTGTATATGTCCTTTTTCTTTCTTTCCTTACTATCATTTCCTAGTGTCAGGAATCCTCATCATTGATGGACAGTTGAAACAACCTTCTGATGTAATATCTTCTCACCAGTCTGTATTTTTATGGCACTTTCCTGTGATATCCATGAAACATAAATCTTGGTGAAGCAGCTCTGCTGAAAACCTTTCAGTAGTTCTTTGCCATCTGGAGGAGAAAAACAGTGTCTGGTAGCAGTCATGGTTAAAACTGTAAGTGTTGGTGCAGAGTGAGAAAGAATAATGAAGAAGGTAAACCTAGGGTCCACAACATAGAACAAGAAGCTTTGATAAGAAAAGTAGGAAGAAAATAGGAACAATGAATGGGTAAATGCTTATGAGAGGAGAAGTCATCTGTGATATACTCTGAGAGTATCCAGTAGAAAGAACAAAGAAATACAGTGAACAGTGTCTACTTCACTAAGGCACTGTGGAGGTACCTTCACGAAGGGTGTTCTGTGATCAGTACAGCCATATAGAGAACAGAGTATGTAACAATGTAATCAGCAAAAGTGCTGGATTCTCCCTTGAAAGGGGGAAGAGCACCTAACCAAGACTTGGAGAGAAGCCTTCTTGGAGTGGCATCACACTGAGCAGGAAATAGCAGGTACTGCGGTGGAGAGTTGTGTCCCAAGAAGAAAGAACACACATGTTAAGGCCTTGAGATATAAAAGAGAATGGTTAGGTCTGAAAACATAAGTATGGCTAGATTGACTATCCAAGGCAGGTGAAGAATAAGGATCAGAAGGTTCAGAGGTGAGTTAGAGGAAATCACAAAAGATCTCAGGAGCTGTGTTAAGGGAGGTGAACTTGATTCTGAAGCCAGTGTAAGAGAATGGAAGGGTGAGAAGCCCCTGGAGTCATGGCCTTTATTGGACATATGTGGTGTTTGTGGGTACAGGACAGTAGAGTTAGAAGGGGTAAGAGGAAGAAATGGGATACTGTTAAATCTTAAGAATTTAACCCTTAGAAGTAGGAGGACCGCTTTGAGTTCAAGGCCAGCCTGGGCCACACAGTGAGTTCAAGCACAGGCTGAATGCATAGCAAGACCCTGTCTCAAAAAAAAGAATTAAAGCCTTAAGAATCTGCCCGTGACCTTGTCACAGAATCCAGCCTGGGCTTCTGTCGTACCCCTTCGTATATGGCCCATTGAGTAGGCTTTATGGCCTCATCTCTTACAGGTTGGAGTACTGCCTCTTGTCATGCTTTTGGCCCTTCTTCTGCGGAGGTGCTCTCATGCCCAGCTCCACTTCCCATGCCTGACTCTGTGACTGTACAGCCCCTTGCCGGGCCCCCTCTGTTGAAATATTTATCATATTTAACTCCTGATGTAGACATTATCTGTCCCTCCTACAATATTCAGAACTTATAGGAACTAAAACCATAGCTTTTTACTGAACTATCTCTCCCCATTGCTTAGCATGGCATCTGACATGTGATCAATGTGTATAATTTTTTTAAAACCACAAGAACCCTTGATCCGCTGATGGAATCACGCAGCTGAAAGACTATTGAGATCATCTACTCCATCTTTTTACATGTGAGGAAACACACGCTGACATACAGTGGGTTACTCTCAGACTGGGGGGAGATCAGAATCCAGGCTACTTAATGCAGTTCAGTGCTCTTTCCACCAGACTATTCATCCTTTCCTATGAGACAACAAGAAGGTGTCTCATTCTTCTTGCTATTGAAAGATTTTTAGAAATGTTTTTGACTTTCAGTTTCTCTCTTGATGTTTTATATTTGAGACCATTGAATTTACATTGGCTAGTGTTTGGGATCATTTATCCCATTTCAGTGGGATTTCTGACATAACTTCAAGAAGCCCTTGTAATGTACTCTGAGATGTCATTTCTAAGTGGCAAATTGCTCCATTTGTGCATTGTGTCGTAGTTTTCCCTTGGTCTTCAAAGAGTCAGACTACATAGGTTCATAATGTGGATCATTTTCTCCAATAATTTTATAGTACTTTAGAAAATCTGTTCTCTCATATCTCTGAGTTTAAAACAATGAAGTGAACCTTATTTTTATCTGAGTATCATTAGCTCCTTAAAGCAGTTGTTTTTGTAGATTATGGTATGTGGATGTCATGATGCCTCTTAAATCTTAACCCTAAAAACACATTGGTTGAGAATGTGGAACTTTTTAGGCCACAGGCTTTTCATTCCTGTGAGTTTTCTTGTTCTGAAATGCTTTTCTGGCGCTTGAAGCCCTTCCTCCATCAGACTCATGTCAGCCCTGGTTTTCTTTTTTTCTTAGTACTTATGTTGCTTGTTCTTCTTTTTTTGTTGTTTTAGTTTTTGTTTAATGCATTTTTTAATTGTGAAAAAAATTGTGGGTATTTTTGTGTTTTCATTTATGGTTTGATTTGGTTTGTTCTTTGCAGTACTGGGAATTGAACCAGGGACTTCACACTCAACTACATCCCTGCCCCTTTTGTATTATTTTGAGACAGAGTCTCACAAAGTTACCCAGACTGGGCTGAAACTTACAATCCTCCTGCGTCAGCCTCCCAGAGTGCTGGAATTACAGGTGTGCCCCACCATGCCTGGCTTTAAAATTGTGTTTCTAATTCAATTTATTATTTTATTGTGATAAATTTTTTTTGAATAGGATTTGTCATTTCACTGTAGAATGGGCCCTTCTCTGAAGTGTTTTTACTTCAGGATCATCGGAGGTTATGTATTCAAAGTTAAGTTTTCTAGAACTCTTTTTATGTGAGGCTTTTTTGGTTTTTTGTACCGGGGATTGAACTCGGGACCTTGTGCTTGCGAGGCAGGCGGCGGAACCTCTGAGCTAAATCCCTGGCCCTCTGGAACTCTTATAGAGACTAAAGATTCTAATATACAACTTTTTAATCAAATTTGAATTTGTTTCTTTTTATACTACTGGCCATCTCTCTTAGGGCTAGTCTGGCCTTTGGTGAGATAGAAAACTGACTTCATCTCAGACTGCCACCTTCTAGGAATTTTGCCCATTCGTATTCACATTCTCTTTTTCAAAACGATCAAAGTTTGCCTGATTTTTTAAAAATGTAGTGAAACCAAAATAACTTATTTTTCTGTTTGTGGATAAGGTGATCCTGCAGATGTTGGAATGATGACCGCTGAAAACAAAATTGCTGTAGACAGAAGTGACCTAATCCCCAAAGTATTAACTTTGAACGTAGGCGATGAGTTTTGTGGTGTGGTTGCCCACATTCAGACACCAGAAGACTTCTTTTGCCAACAACTACAAAGTGGCCGTGAGTGAATTGTCTTAATTTATTTAATCACAGTAACATACTTCAAGACTCAACACACAAAACTAAAGATAAAGCAGCAAGGTAGTGTTCCTTTTGTTTAAGATGTGATCTGTATCCACAGGTAAGCTCGCTGAACTTCAGACTTCCCTTAGTGAGTACTGTGGTCAAGTGTGTCCACGGTCTGACTTTTACCCAACCATTGGGGATATATGTTGTGCTCAGTTCTCAGGTAAGTAGAGAGAATATTGTGTTTAACTTAGAGCTGAGTGAAAATGAGACAGAATCCTTGGCACTGAATGGATGCATTTGAAGCTTGTGCATTTAGGTGCACCATTTATCTTTTTAAATATGTCCAGTTAAACTGGATCAAAGGAATGTATGGTATGTATAAGGGCAGAGAGCCTAGGGGTGTCGAGAGTAGGGATAATATAGGAGGTATTTTTTTCAGCCCTTTAGTGGTTGGAGATTGGTACAGATAATTCTGTTTATACAGACACCAGATAAAGAACCTCTAGGTTTGTATCCTCCCCAGATTAATTCGGAATAACAGGAGGACTTAGAAGGTTAGCAATGTAATAGTGCAGTCTTTGTAGCTACGCAAACCCACCTGTGATTGCCAGGTTCTGTTACTCTGTGCTGAAGGGATGATAGGTAGCTAATAAGCACCAGTATGTCAGTTGCTTGGCTGGGGGAGTCCAGTTGACTCATACTGCAGGTGTTCTGGAAGTATCCCTGATGGATGCAAATGGTTCATGTATTGATCAGGACCTTAGGATTCACACAATTAGGACATATTCTCTGCCCTGCTGAGCTGTCTTCTAGAGAGACAAGGCATACAAATTAATAATGACAGCATATGTCATAATTAGGAAGCTAATAAAGATTACATTTTAAGAAATGAAGGCTTTGGGTAAGCAGAATACAGTGTTCGGTAAGTATATGTGTTTAGTAAAACTTGATAGTTTTTAAGGTAAAATCTAGAAACGACCATCTAGTTTAGTCAGTGTTTACCTTCATGGAAAAAGTCATTTGAGATTGAGTCTTCTGTGTTTCAGAGGATGACCAGTGGTACCGTGCCTCTGTTTTGGCCTATGCTTCTGAAGAGTCTGTACTGGTTGGATATGTTGATTATGGAAACTTTGAGATCCTGAGTTTGACAAGACTTTGTCCTATAATTCCAAAGTTGTTGGAATTGCCAATGCAAGCTCTAAAGTGTATGCTGGCAGGTATGAAGTTTTATCATCCCACTGTGATTAAAGTATTAAAACCTATAAATGAAAATTGAAATATGAAAAAAATGCATGAGGCAGGGAAAACCTGCTTGACAAAACAATAACATATGATCATATGTTTTGAAATTATCGTGCACATAATTTGTCCCACCAGGATCAGGGCTTTCTTTCCATTTCAATAGATTGGCTTCAGCAGTCTTTATTAAAATGTGTCATATTTTAACTAGTATCTAGAATCAGAAAGATAGTACCGAGTTTTTGCTGTTAGCAGCAGTTCTTTTAACTACATTTAGCCACATATCCAAGATCATTTCCTTAGACTATATGGTAAGATCTAGGTGTCAGTGAATCTACTGCTTTTCTTTCATATTTGTGATATATACTCTTCATTGTCCTCTGGGAAGAGTTGCATTGGTTTTTATGCTCACAGGAAGGTATGAGGGAGTGAACTTCTTCATACATTCGTGTACCAGGGAGCTATTTCTTCATCTTGGCCACTGTTGATAAGGCAAAACCTAAATCATTTCAATTTGCTTCATGACTAGAGGTTGAACATTTTTTGTAAATTATTTGGATCATTTAATGATCTGTCTTAGGCATAACCTCAGGATTATTGATTTGTAAGTGCCCTTTCAGTACTGTTTGTGCCCCAAATATGTGTCATGTGTTAGTGAAGGGACTAGCATTTCTTCTGGATTATTTTATATTTTAGTATTTTCTTAACAGTTTTATTGAGGTATAATTTATACACTCTGAAAGTTACTGTTTTGGATATACAGGTCAGTACTTTTTAGTAAATTTACTGGGTTGTATGCCATCATCATGATCCAGTTTTAGAACACTTCCATCAGTCCAGTGAGATCTCTTGTACCTAGTTTATGGGTAAATCTTGCTCCCCAAGCAGCAAGTAGTATACTATAGATTTGCTTTACTAAACATTTTCTATCAGTGGCATTATGATTTTTTTACACAGAAGTGTAAAAACATTTTACAGGCTTTTTATTCTGTATTCACTTTCATTTTTAGAAAGGAGAGACTTTTTGGTTCCAGTATTTGGCACAGATTTAAGCTTAAGTTTGCGGAAATCAGGAGTTATATGTCAGAATACTTGTTTTAGGAATTTAATGTTCTTTAAAAAATTGTTTGTTAGGAGTAAAGCCATCATTAGGAATTTGGACTCCAGAGGCTATTTGTCTCATGAAAAAAATTGTGCAGAACAAAATGGTCATGGTGAAAGTGGTGGACAAGTTGGACAGCAGTTACCTGGTGGAACTTAGAGACAAATCTGTGACACCTGTCATCAGTGTTGCTAAAGTTCTCATAGATGCAGGCTTTGCTGTGGATGAAAAGGAGACAGTCACAGATAAACCTAGTGGTAAGTGAATTATCTGCTAGATAATGTCTATGCTGGAGTTCAGTTGGTTCTGTAAATGTGTGGGTTCCGATGGCTTCCAAAAGAATTGATGTTGAGTGCCTTTTTGTCTTTTAAAATCAAGCATTCATCTAAATATGTTTAAGAGTGTGTTTGAAAACTGAAATCTTTGTTGAAAGTTTTATGGGTCATTGGCAGCTGAAGACTGATCAAAAATTCCAATTTGAAATTCAATGAGGAAAAAATGATTAATTGTTAAAACGGATCTTTAAGGTTAACTTTTCTGTAAAGTCACTTAGAATGTCAGGGGACATTTAGGTCTTCCAAAGTAGTTTCATTAGCAACCCATCCCCTGCCAGAGCCTCCCCATACTCTGTCCCTTTGTTGTGCAATATGTTTATTTTCACAGTTCCCCTGAGTGCAGAAGGAAAAGTAAATCCAGTGGAGTGGACATGGGTTGAACTTGCAGTTGACCAAACAGTAGATGTTGTAGTCTGCACGATGTATAATCCTGGAGAATTTTATTGCCATATCCTTAAAGAGCATGGTAAGTTGACTTACGTATTTCTTTTTTGCAAATATATGGGCATAGATAAAAATTTAAGATGTGTTTGTTAGTGAGTATTGTAGTTACTTTTCTCATCACTGATACAAAATACCCAACAACCAGACTTACAGGAGGAGAGGTTTATTTAGCTCACAGCCTGTAGAGGTTTCAGTTTACTTGGCTGGCTCCAAGGCAGGGTGGCATGGGAGAGAACAGTTCTTGGCAGGCAGAATGCGGCAAGGCAGTATGCAGCAAAGTAGTGAAGCAGCAAGCAACAACAGCAGTCCTCTTTCTGTCTCTTACATTTTCTCCAGGCTACACGCCCTTAGAGCAATAGCACTCAAACCCTGGGTGGGCCTTCCCATTATCTACACCCAGAACTATGCCACACCAATCAGTGGACTAATTTAGTAATCACACACTCTAGATCCAGCCACCTCTGAAAACCCCCACCTATGACTACATGAAGCTGGGGGGTGGGGAGTGAATCTAGACACAAGCCATAACAGTGAGTAATAAAAGTATTAGAAGGGCCAAATGAGTATTTGTATTTCCAAGAAAAATTTAGTTTTACTTGGCCTCTATTCTGTCTTTAGCCATTATATTTTCACATTTAGAAATATTTCATATTTCTCATCTTATTTAAAACAGTTTAGATTTCATAGACTGTCTCCCAAATTCATTTTTGGAAATTTATTGTTGACTTTATCAATGTATTACATACATATAGATGAGTTCTCAAAGTGCAGCATAATGAATAACCACAAGGTCAACACAGCCTTGTGATTATATAACCAGCCTCTAGGTCAAGAAATAAAATGTTATCAGTGTTGCAGAGGTTTTTTTCAGGTTAGCTCTTGTCGTTACTGCTCTTTTCTCGGAGAAGGAAATACTGTTTCACTTTCTTATAGCACAGATTTGTTTTTTGTGGGGTTTTTTTTTTTTTTTTTGGTTTTGAACTTTACACAAATGGAATCATACAATCTGTATTTTTCTTTACTTTGTTGCTGTTTTTGCCTTGTGAAATTGCTACCTGTAGCTGTAACTTACTTATTCTACATTGTGTTCTGTTGTATGAGTCCATTATTCTTGTCTACCATTGGATATTTGGCTTATTTCTAGTTTGGGGCTATAAAAATTATGTTGGTCATGCTAGTGTAATATTGTACAAATTAGGTAATACATTTCCATTGAGTCTATACCTTGGAATGAAATTATGACATCATAAAGAGTATATGTATTTTCAGTTTCAATCAGTGAATGCCAGTTTCTAAGTGATTATGACAGTTGTCAGTTTGAAAATTCTTATTGCTATTTATCCTCATAAACATGTGTATTCTTTTTCATTTCAGCCATTCTGGAAAGCATCACTGATTTTAACTTTTCTAAATCTTAGTTTTTCTTTCTGTCAAATGAGGACATTGAACCTAGATAATTGAGTCCAGCTTGACTGTCAAGTTGTGAGATTTGTCATTCCTTCATTTAAAGTTACTTGCTGGGTGGGGCATTATTTAATAGAGGATAAAATTTAAAATTTTCTATTTCCTTTTTATTTTCAAGGGTGGTTTTATAAGCATATGGTATTAAATTCAAAAGTTATGAAAGAGTATGTAGTAGAAAGTTCCCCAGTTCCTCTTCTCAGTTTTCTAAACATCTTTTCAGAAGTACTCTGTACATATGCTTGTATGAATATATGTATTCCTTTATTGTGTATCCATAAGTAATAAAATACTTTAACTTTTGTACTTTTTCTCCCACTATATTTGGATATCAGTTAACATAGTGTTTTCGCCATTCATTTTTTAAAACTTTTTTAAAATTTTGGAATAATTTTAGATTTACAGAGAAGTTGCAGAGATGGTATGAAGAGTTCTGTACACCCTTCACCTAACTTTCTCTGTAGGTGACATGGTACATAATCATGGCACGTTTGTTTTGAGTAAGAGACCAACAGTATTACATTATTAGTAGCAGAAATCCAGACTTGACTTCGATTTTGCTAGATTTTCTTCAAATGTCCTTTTCCTGGTCTGAGATCCAGTGTTGGACGCCACATTATTGTTTAGTCTTCATTCTGTTTATTTTCATGATCACATGATGTCTTAGTTATGTTCCCATTATTGAGACACAATACCAGACACCCATAACTTGTGTGTGTATGTGCATGTGTATATGTGTGTATGTGTGTATACTGGGGATTGAACTCAGGACTTTGCACTTGTGAGGCAGGTGCAGCGCCACTGAGCTAAATCCCTGGCCCCAGACACCCATAATTAAAGGAAGAAAGGTTTGTTTTGGTTCACAGTTTGTAGAGGTTTCATTTCATAGTTGACTGACTCCAGGACGAAGCAGCATGGCATAGGGGCATGACACACAGGAAGCAGTGAGACTTTCTTTTTCTTTCCCTTTTATGCTGTCTAGGATACAGGCCTATTGGTGCCACCCACACCTGGGCTGGGTCTTCCCTCTTCAGTAAGTCCACCCACAACCAGAGCTGTGCTAAACCAATCCGTGACTAATCCAGTATCACGCACCATGATCCAGTCACCCCCAAAAGCCCTACCTATGAGTACATGAGGCTTTGAGGGGCCCTCTAAATATAAGCCATAATATATGCTATTCCATTGTGTGGATTTATCCTTGTTTAATTAACCTAGGTTTGGATAAAGGATTAGTACTAGTTTTCAAGGTTTCATTACTCAACAGTCCTTGTACTCTGTGATTTTACTCATTACAACCTTGGGACACATTCCTAAATTGCAGTTATTAGGTCAGAGGATAACATGTGCTTGTGCCAGTATCCTTCCAAAGGTTGACCAAGAAAAGCCCCAGCAACAGAGCGTGAGAGTGCCTTGTTCTACACCATTTCCCAAAACATGCCTTTATGCTTTTTTATTTGGTCTAATCTGAAAGGCAAAAATTTTAACCCATAAGTCTCATTTCTGTGACCTGACCCACTATTAGTATTTAAGAGATGTTGGCTTGTCTTTTACCTGCGTAGTGGCTCAAATCCCTTTACCTTGCATGCTAAAGTTCTGCATAGACTGTGTCTTTCTGAGTACCTTTCTGTAGTAGCTCAACTTTCCACTTCTAGGCTTTGCTCAGCTGTTCCCCACTAAGTAATTTTTGGCTGCCCAATTCTATAACTGTGTAATGTGTTTGAGTCACTTCTTCCAGTTGGAATGCCCTCTCCTTTCTGTCAAATCACACTTCAGATTCCTCTGTGAAACCTCCAGAAAGCAGAGCTCACAAGCTTTCTAAATTCCTCTAGCACCTATTATCTATGCCATCCATTTTAGTAATCATGTTTCTCTTGCGGGACAGCTTTTATTTAACTTCGTGTATGTTTGTATAGTGTTTCCTGTCTACTCACAAAGCTCACATTCTGGTATACTGATGATGATGCCACACCCGTGTATCCATGCCCACTAAGTCATTGGTAATGGCTTTGCGAGTATTAATTAAATAAAAGCTTATTTACCCGATAATTTTTAGGTCAGGAAAAGCATTCAGTGTATTTCATAGGTGTTTTGGTATATATGTGAGATTTTTATAATCAAAATGTTTTCTGACTTTAAGGAAAACCTGTGTTTGGTATTCTTAATATTAAATCCTGTATGTATTTTTTTAGCCTTGGAGAAGCTCAGTGATTTGAATAAATCGTTAGCAGAATATTGCCGACAGAAGTTACACAATGGGTTTAAGGCAGAAATAGGGCAGCCTTGTTGTGCTTTTTTTGCGGGTAAGTTGCAGTCGATGACATTGTGACATTAAAACCTTTTTGTTTCTTGACATTCTACCCTTATTTCTACCCAGTACTTAAGCATATAGTTTTCACAGCCAAGAGTAAATGAATAAGATGTCATTGTTTCTTTTTTAACAAAGAACCTCCAAATTGTACATTCTTGCCTAGATTTTATTAAACATTTTAACGATTTTTCTTTCCAGAATTTCTAACATTAAATCAGGTAATGGAAGAGCTGTTCACACAGGGTCTCTGTTTCCTCTGGTCACCCTATACATGTTCATTTTGAGAAGTATTTGTTCAATTTGTGTGCTTCACTGCAAGAGTTTTTGTTTGTTTTGTTTTGTTTTTTGAGACAGAGTCTAGCTTTGTAGTTCATTCTGGCTTTGAACTCACTAAGTAGCCCAGGCTGGCCTCAAACCCTCTCTTGGTGATCCTCCTGTCTCAGCCTCCTGAGTGCTGGGATTACAGGCGTGCACCACCATGCCCAGCCTGCAAGAGGTTTTTATCCACAATTTATTTTTCATGCTATTTTACCAAGTAACAAGTCAATCTAAGTAGTTAAGAGTAGTGTAAGGTTTTTTTTAGGTGTGAGGATCGAACTTAGGGGTTCTCACATACTAGGCAAGCACTCTACTACTGAGATACATCCTTAGCCTTGAAATTACAGTGGTATCTCAGTGCATAAATACTTGTATTTGCAAACAGTTTGATTCACAAACAGAAGCATTTGATGAAATTTTGTTTTTGTTTGCAAACTCTGCATCGGTTGACAAACACTTCTGTGGCCATTTTTCTCACACAAACATAAAGGTGGCCATCTTTTCCAAACTCATAGAACAAATTAAGTTCATGAACTGAGATACCACTGTAATTCATATCAGATATAAAAGTGTAGTATTATAAAAAAATTGAAGATATTCTAAAAATGGGATTTTGAAAAGTCTTGATGTAGGGATTTTTGATTGAAAAACTAAAGGGATGAACTGCGGAAGAGAGCAAATTTATCTACTTTAAAACTGAAAGTGTAAATAAGGACTAAAATGTATAATAAGTAATGTGAAATAGGAAGAAAAGGGGCAAAGGGGAAGGAAGTGGGAGGGCTAGGGGAAAGGATAGAAGGGAAT